ACATTTTATGGTGCTCTGCTGTAATGTTGCAGAACACAAAGCGTAAGAAATCTCACACTCTTCAAGTGCTCTTATTAGAGGCAGAGAGAGCTTCCCTACCTTGTTTAAAACCAACAAAAACCAAACCCACCAACTTTTTTACTATGAGAAGGACTGATTTTAAAAGGTGCAAGGAGCTTCTTCCCAGATGCTGAGCTCGCTCCTCTCTGATGTGTTCATGTCCTTCAAAGAACAAGAGAGTGAGAGGGGTGCGACTCATCTTCAAACATGATGTTGAAGAGTAATAAATTCCGTTAAATCTTGGACCTTTATGGAGGAAATTGTTTCAATAAGAAGAAATTGGGAAAAATAAGTATAAACACTATTTTTTCCCTTTTCTGTTTCATAGAATCATTAAAGCTGGAAGAGGCCTCCAAGATCAAGGTCCAACCATCCCCCTACCACCAATGTCACCACTAAACCATGTCCCTAAGCACCACGTCCAACTTTTCCTTAAACACCCCCAGGGATGGTGATGAGAAATGAGGGAATTGCAGGATGTCTGATATCTTATCTTTTTTTTTATTTTATTTTATTTTCAAGTTAGGATCAAGTCCTTTTCCTTGAACATGGCATGGTTAGAGGAGGTAACCAGCATTGCACTGATCACGAAGTTGTGGGGTCAGCATCAGGGAGTGCCAGGGAACCTCTTGCAGTGTGAGTTGTGGGCCATCTAACATATGGTACGGCTTCTTCAACGCTTCGTTGTACACAATAGGCATAAGAATGCCAAAAAGTACTTTAATGCATTTGCAAAGCACTTTGAGACGCTTCCTGAAGAATGCTGTTAATCCTCAGCATTGTTAGCATGGGGTTCAGGATGTTCTCTGAAAAGAGTAAATTAGGGAAATAGAGGTAGACTTCAAATTGTGGTAGACCGCTTTTGAGCTGGAGTAACTTCATGGCAGAAAAAACTCACAGACTGGGCAATTAAAAATTAGATAGATAGATAGATGCTGAAGTGTTTGTGTTGCCATAATGGATCAGCAAAGCATAACATTTCAGGGAAATTCTACAAATATGTGAATATTTTCAAGAATTTGTGATACTTCATTCTTAATTTAATAAAAATGTATTCTTCCTTTCACCTCTATTTCTGGATAGAACAAAATACTCATTGTTGTCTTTCTCTTCCCTGGATTGAGAAGGTTCCTTGCATTTTTCTGGGGCAAGGAAACTTGCCATTATCATTTTGGGACCTACCATGTCTGTAGGTAACAGGGAGTTAGCAGTAAAACTTGGGGGTACCCATGGCGAACTTTTCCCCCAGAAAAATACCAGGTAGAATGGAAACTTGAAGCAGCGTCAATGTTTGCTCAGACTCGAAATGTGTGCAGAGTTTCTGGCTTTTTTGGTAATCTTCTGTTTTTTTCATAGTGAAGCATGACATTTTCGGCTCCATTTCAGAACTGTTCAGCTGCGCTCCTAATGGCCCCGTCTCTGACTCCCACTCAGTGGTATTCAGGTGGGCACACTTCATTGCTAGCACAGCGTGAGGATGTCATTAGCTCCATGACAAATCTCACTTCACCTCGACGTTTTTCTTCTTTTGTTTTTTTTTGGTCTCATAATTTATTACCAGACAGATTAAATCAGCAAGCCGGTGCTCTTAAGAAGGAGCAGCTACAACAATAGTACTTTGTGACAGCTGTGAAACATTTAGTGTTTTTTTTCTAGTGCCTATGAAATGTGGCTGATATAATTTCTTGCCTTAAACTGAAAAAGAAAAAAAAAAAAAGCCCTGCATCCAAATGAAAGAGTTGTGTTGTGTGGCATTGCTGAAGCAATGATGTACGCCTGGTCCAGATGGTTCTTGGAGAGCTGCGTACGTCGGGATGTTGTACATCAGCGAGCATGGATGGTTAGCCCTGTAGTCAGTGCTTATGGGGAGCTGTCATGGCAATAAAGCTCAGTGCTTACATACAGCTTAAAATCATCAGTGCTCCCTGGGAATTAAGCTGTACAGCTTCCTTTCCCTAATGAGGTGGATCATTTTCTTGGAGTCTGCTCGTGTGGATGGGTGGTGTGTGTGGGACAACCCAGCGGTACAGTGTTTGTGTGCTTAGCTCTTGTTCGGTCCAGAGACCAAGCGACCTGCCCAGCTGATAACCATCTTGAAAAGGGGAAAAATACTCCAAAAAATAAGTGTTATTCCCCCCTCTTCCTTCATTTTCTCCCTCTTTTCTCCGCAGCTGGTAGGAAGTCATTGGTTTCTCCGTAGGTCGGATGAATGATAATTCACCTCCCTGCAAGAGATGTTCTTAGTAGGAATCCACAAGGATGAAGGGATATTAACAGTGTGCTTTTTATGGACGTGTCTGTTGGGTCTGCAGCACAGAACTTGGTCCGGGACATCATCTGCATGGGAGGTACCACGTTGGTCAGTCAACGTTACGGCACGTTTCAGCCCTTGGTGCCAGTAGGCAGATCCCTCACTAGAGATTTTCACCTGAACATGCAGGCAATGCCATTGTAAGCTCTCTTTTGCTCCGATTTGGGCTTTTCTCCAAGTGCTATCATAACAAAATGCAGTAAATTAGGATAAACGGTAGCACTGCACCTCCATGTGATGGCCAGGTAAGGCTGGGGCTGTAGCACGTCAGGCAGACAAGACACAATTTGGGGTCCGTAGGCGTGCAGTGGCAGCACCGAGGGGTGTAAAGGTAGGTGGTGCTGTGCAGGCTGCCATACCTCTTGTGGTGTTACTGGTATATACGGGGCATCATCGGGAATAGGATTTCCACCTCCGTGTGATTTTCGAGGTAAAATATTTGAATGCAAACACAATTACTCTCCCTCGTGGCTTACACCTACATACAGAGCCTTCGTTATTATTAATTGAAAGCTAAGAGCCAAGAAGATACAAAGCATATTTTTCTGTCAGGGCTGGTGTGCTGTTCTTCTCACATCTCGCATAATGTGGCCAAGCAGAAAAGACAGATGGCTTCATTCCTTGCTAAGGAGTTGGTGCCAGTCAATAATATTGATTAGCGCGGGGTGACTTGATGTAACAAGAATAACACCCGTCCTTAATTTGAGCCCGGATTTCCTACTTCCTGCCTCGGTAGTTCATGCTTGGATGAATTCCTCAATAAGCCCGTTAAGAGACAGACCCCGCTGGAAATTACAGGGTGTGACGTTAATAGGGGAAGCGGATAACTTTCTTTTCCTAGAAGTTTCACTTCTTTTTTTTCCACGATTAAACAGTCACATTGTGCAAGTTAACTTTTTTTTGGATGCAAACTGAAATTCTTGAGCTTCCTTTTCTTCCTTTTTTGAGATCTGCAGTCAGTAAAGTGTTATCAACTCGGTCCTTAGCTGTTTCTTCGTGTTTCTTGAAACCTTATGTTAATGTGGCAAATACCAAGAAGCCCCATATCCAAAATGCATGCCCGGGGAGCTGTCAGGTCATGACCACACAGCGAGCACAAGTACACATGGTTTGCCTGGGGAGTGCCTCGAAGCAGCCTTCATGTCCACACGACCACAGTGATCATGGAACAGGTTAGGTGGGGCACTATGCACAGTTTATAGGCTGGTGTCTGTAGGAAGACATTCCCAACCTGGTGGTTACGAAGCCCAAGGAGCTGCTTCTCTTCACTTTTCATTCAGTTGGTGACCTCATCTGACTGATTTGTCATCTGTGTCCCCTGGTTTCTTCATCAACTCCACAGGGACTTTAATCCTTTCCCCTTACCAAGGCACAGAAACAATGTCTTTGGCTCTGCATCAGCTTGTACAGAACAATCCTGACCTGGAGGGACCATTTTAGGGTATAGAAGAATTGGTGTAGATGACCAGTCCTTTCTGTGAGGTTGCTAACAGGAGAGCCAATTAAATCAACTCATTGAGGAGGAGGCTTTTTTTTTTAATCCTTCTTCTTTTTCCTGTAATAGATTGGTTGCAGGTAATGGCCTAAAGTGCATAAACATCACTTTGAAAGAGTTTTGGAGTCACTCGGTGGTTGTGTTCCTCTTCTCGTGCTTTCCAACTTGAAGACATCGTTCTTCTCATTTCGAGGCAGACGGATGTCAGGGTCAAAAAATTCAATAATCTGTTGGTGTTGTTTTGATTTCAAGTACTTTGTCATTTTCCTGCCTATAAAGCTATCATAGTAATGTGATTAGGTTCTGTATTTATTATTATTCAATCATTAAGGAGAGTTCACGTGCAAAATAAAAATGGCTTAATAACATTTGGGATAGAGACTTTGCCCAAGTTTGTATTTCGTGTTATTTTGGGGATTTTAGTCCAAAAATGTAGTTGATAGGGTTACTTGTCATGATGATACCAGCAAGAAGATTGTGACAAGGGAATTTGACCAAAATACAGGGGCATTGGATGGTGAATTGCTGCGAATTTCAGAATCAGATCATGTTTTTATGCTAATGTGAGAGGCATCTGACCTGGTCTCTTAAAAATGTGTCCTTCTGGAAGGACAACAAGTGGTCTTCGTTGGTCTCAGGAGATGCAAGAGTTCTAGAAAATTGAGATTTAGAGGGATTATTAGTTCTCCCCCCTTTGTCCTGTCTCAATATCCTGGTTTAGAGTATCTTGGTGTTAGAAGCTGCCTATGGAAGTGACTTTGTTTCTGCTGCGATGACGTGAAGGTGGCTGTTTCATGCCACTTGAAACCCTGCAGTCTGAGCCTAAGATGTATAAATTATGCTCTCTGAGCTTGTTCTACTTCCCAAGAGTGTGCCAAACACAACACACTTATTTTTCCGTAGCTGAGAGCCTGTTTGTACGCAACTTTTGCTTGAGCAATGGAGTCTTCTGCTAGGAAATTATGAGACTCGCTGTAGGAAGTGGACTCTTGAGAGCCCCAAATGGACTCTTGAGAGTAGTGTTAAATATAATAACATTTACAGACAAGTCTAAATGTTTAATTATCACTTAGTATCTAAAAATCAAGGGATGTTCAGATTCTGTTAAGCAACTTGTTACGTGTTTTCTTCCAGGAGGACCGGATGATAACTTAATTGAAGGTGGAGGATCCAAGTTTGTCTGCAAACCAGGAGCCAGAAACATAACCATCATCTTTCATCCCCTCCTCAGGTAAGTGAGACTTTCTACATAGTTCTGCTATTTCTACAGATGTGAATAATTAGAATAAATGGAAGTAACTTACTTTATTTATGGGCACGCTGTGGGTTCTGTGGTAACACCTCCCAGCAATTTGTGTATGTAATTTTGGGCTCGTAAAGCTGTTGTGCACGTGTTTAGGAAATAAACGCTAGCTGAGGTTGTCACCAGTGCTTGTTTCATCTTTTTGAAGATTAGCTAGAGCTCCAGTGGGACTGCTTCCCAGGGTGACCCCTTTCCATTGAACAGTGCAATTTGTTATTGGCCCATGCAGGGAAAAGTTTAGTTACATCCCATCACAAGTTGTCTCTCACTTATCCGTTTGTCCATTATGCTTATTAAAAAGTCAGAAGGATACTTTATGAACTGCCAGGTAAGTTCATTCTTTGATAAACAATTACAGGTCTATGGACTGCAAATTAAATGCCTGAAGTGCTGTGCCAGTTACTAAAATCACAGAAATTCATAGCTTACCAAGGCACTGCCGGAACTTTAAACATCTCCTCTCACCAAGTCACTCACCTCCTGGTGCTTTAATTTTGCTCTTTTTACTTTGCAGTCTAGCAGTCCGTTTTCTTAGTTTTTGCTGGAATTAAATAATATGACTTTTTTGCTCAGTTAATGTCAGTCTTCCACCTCTGCCTTTTCCTTGCGTGGCTTTTCTTTATCATCAGACGTGTCCTTTCCTATTCAGGGCTAGCATCTTCAGAGAGCACTTCCCTCCTTTGCTCTGTTTGCCTTACTCATTATCATGAGTCAGTCAAGCAACAGGGCATTTTTTTTCTCCGGCACTAAAAGCAAGCAATAATAAAAGAGTAATAAAGACAAGAAACTGGAATCCGATTGTGAGAGCAAGGTTATTCTGAGTGTCAGTCTCAACAGCTGAGAACTGGTCAGTTGTGAGTTCTTTTGACTTAAAAATGCAGAGGGAAAGTGGCATTAATTCTGCAAATGTAAATTTTTGATGTCGTGACACCAGATATTTCAATAATCTTTAGAACAGCACCGGTTGTGAAGACATCAAAACATGTGAGATACTAAAATTCGTTACGGTGTTTCAGATCTTTCCTAGAAAAAAGGGTTGTGTGCCCTGTACGCTCGTCATTTATTGATGGATGCCTGTAATGATAATTTCATAAGCGCATTTTATTTCAACACCCATCTCTTTTGAAATGAAAGAAATGTATGTGCTGAAAATTAAATTTCTAGACTATAGTGTATGTTTTTCAGCTATTTTATTGTGAGAAAAGGGGTGGTTAAGATGCACTAAGCTATTCAAGATGACCACCGGGACATAGACTTTGGTCCCTTCATCTTAAATGAATTTGCAGGTTTCTTTCAAGCTCAGAGGGGGTGGGGATGCTCTTATTTTTATTGATGAGTTGCTTCACATTGATTTAGAAACTGGCAAGATGCTTTTTGCTTTCTGTTTGCTTCCCTGCTTCATTTTTTTTTTTTCTGTTTTTGCCATCCTAGTCAAACATGAGTGCTCTGCTTTAAATAGCACTCCTCACAAACACTTCACTTTCAATACCAGCTTGCAAGATAGGCAGTAGAAATAATTTGCTTCATAAAAAATAATTACATCAAGATTAAGGTATCTGTGTACAATATATTTTTCTCGCTAACCATCTGCAACATCTTAACTTCCGTGCAGTTGAGTGGTGCATCAATAACTGCAGGGAGAAAAAGAAAATACTCCATGACCCAGCTTACCTTTTTCTCGGTGGTGAATGGAACGAGTATGGCAGTAGGTGAAGAATGTAGAAACTTTGAAAATGTGATTTTTACCTGCCATAATCAGTCGACAAAATATTTTTTATGGGAAGTCTTTGCTGTATTTCTTTTAACTCATGGTCTGCATATGCCGCATGGGATGCAGGTATATTTGGGACTGAGCATAGCACTGGACTTCTTTGGGCAATAATTGCTTCCAGGGAATTCTGTTCCTGATGAAGTCACTAGCGATGACCTGTCCTACCCCGCAGACTGGCATAACCACTGACTCCTGTTAAAATTGCCTGTATGGTGCTGGCTGTCACTTGTAAATGCTGAGTATGGGGGATTTACTAAAATATCGATATGTGCGATAATTTCTGTCACATCATCTTATGTGTCTATGATTCTTGGTTAGATCTTTGTCACCCTTTTCTAGGCATTATTGTATTAAGTGTCAAGCTCTCCAGGAGGTAATTGCTGCAGAGGTGTGAAGTTTTCACTTGCTTTATTTTCCATTTGTTTTTGAGGCTGCTTATGGCCTGTCTCAATCATCTTTCATCGATGTTGCCTGTACAGGCTTAAAATGAATCTGTTTTGAATTCAAAACGATCGATATTTTCTTTAGAAGATTTTTTTTCTTATTTTTATCAAGTTCACATAAGTACGTTGGCGGAGAAGTTTTAACACTGTATGGACTAGCTGATTTTATTAGGATGCTGAGTGCTTCTTAAAAGTATTAAGCTAACTAGATCACTGGGAAACCAGACATCGGTGTGATGATTTAAAGCCTGAGCATCGCTTTAAGTGGTGGCTTTAAAATGTAATTCAGCACGGTAATGTGAAGTGGAGAGTTGTAACCAGAGCATTCATATTCATCAGTCTGAATTCATCTCTTTGTGCTACTGATAGAAAAGTGTCATTTTCCATCACATCAGAGAGCTGCAGAACCGCAGAGCTAAGTTTGCTGGTTATAATAGCCTTGTTTTTATAGCATTTTTTGTTTGCAAACTGAGACTGAGCTTGGATCCAGACCCCTTTGAGGAACTCAGGAGTCGGCAGACATTCAGTGGGCTGCACATCGGCACCCGTGTACTCTGGTAACAAAAGTTCATTTAGAGAAACTCTTACCTACAACCACGGAGAGTCAAAGGGCAGACACATCCAAGTAGTTTTCAAAATCTGCCTTTCCTTGTATTCATTTCGAGCAACAAGCCGGAGTTGGGAAATGAGTCGTTATGCCGTTTGGGATGTGGGCCCCTAATTTCCACTAGGACAACTGAGATTCACCAGGCCCCAGATTAATTACCAGGATTTAATGACACCACCACACACATAATGAATGAATAGCGGATTTTTGGAAGACAAGTGGGTATTCTAGTGGAGATGATTCCTGGGAATAGATTTTACTAACTACATATGAAAACTAATTGCATTTACAAATTGAAGAGGAGCGCACATCTGATTCTCCTTAATTACATATTGCGGGAGGTGTCGAAGTATAAAAGTTACCAAAAGAGTCCAGTTGCTTTCTTCATCCTTCACTGCTACCCAGCATCTGCCCGGATCGTTAAAGCACTGGTGTTATTGGTCTGTGGGCTGACGTCTCCCGTTGGAGGAGGGAAACGTGTGGGACCAACGCTGAAGCCCTTACGCTGTAGAATATTGAACAGCCTGAGTGATGTCTGTTGTAACATTTGTTTGGTGGTTGTTTTTTTTTTTTGTTGTTTATTTGTTTCAGCTGGCATTTGAAAGGCACTTGGCTCTTCAGGGTAATAATCATTTTACATATGCTTTATAGAGTATGTTTATTACCAGACAATTGAAGAACAGATGTCTGCAGTCTTGAGGCTTGAGGGGGAGGGACAGGAGGGGCTGGAGATGAAGGGGATGATGGCGTTTTGAATCGTGAAAGCACCGCTGATGCTAATGTGGTTGAACATTGTTTGGATATTGGGTATTAAAGCCGCAAGGGTATCTATTTATTAGTATCAGCCACACTTCATTAAGATCAAGCAGCAATTAAAAGGGTTGTGGGATGGAAGAGAAAGCAAAGTGTTCATTGATTCGGAAGAAGCAATCATTTCTTCGTGAAACTGTATCCTTGTGAAGAAGGGCTCTAGAACGGCTAAATTGACTTGGCACCCTTTACCTGTCTCTCGTATGGGCAGTGTCTGTCACACAGCACTTCACTCCTTGCCAGATGGGAACGAGTGCACCGTGTCAGCACTATTGTAATCCCTGCCTTCATAGGATCTTCGATTTCAAAGCCTGGACAGTAAGAAAGTGAAAAATGAAATGTTGATTTGAGGATCAAAAAAATCCAACCAAACAACAACAACAACAAAACCCTAGTGATTTTACTCCACTGGTGATGTTTGAGATGCAAAAACTGAAGTTTAACATTCAGTTGTGTGCAGTGCTCCAAGGCACTGCAAAGTTTGCCAGTTCCCGGTATTTCCGACTGCTCAGAGGTTGGGAGCAGGGGGGGCAGGCAGCATACAGTTTGACAATTTAATTTAACAATTGAATGATTATGTTCATTTAAACTGGTTGGTCCTTGTCGTTTACAGCAGTAGCTTTCCAACTGTTAGCATTTTTGGAGTTTTATTTTCTTTCATCTGTATTAACAGTGAAAAAGAGTGATTGCTCTTTTAATAAATAAAATTAACGCTTTAGGGAATAATCATGGAGAACAGTAATTCTCTTTTGCTGCTGGTTGATACCAGTGTGCTCCTCACCAGCTGGTGGCAATCTGCTCTGAACTGCTGAAGGTCACATTTCAGACTCCACTGGTAACCTGCCCTTGGGAGGGATGTACGCGATATACAGGGTATATACGTACACGCAGGTACACGTGTATTAACAGTGATGTCTTAGCTTTCCATGCTTTAGAAATAATCACGTCAAGCTCCTACTTAATTCAGGATATGTCAAGATGAAAGGTACTGTATGTAGAGTTTAAATCCTCTGTTTATTTTCAAAATGTTAGGAAGCAATGGCAAAGACCTTACCAGCTCCCAGGAGGCATCTAAGTCTTTTGGCCTTTGCGAACATCAGCTGCTGCTGCAGTTGAGCAGTGTTCGTAGCTGCATACCTGTAATTGATACAGAGCTGTGCATATAATTAAGAACATGTGTATGTCACTGATAATCCCTCTTATTAGTTAGTTTTACAGCTGTAATAATAAATAGTTTAATTTTAAAATATGCTGTAATATCTTACAGTGATGTACTATAAAATTAATATTTGATACT